TTTAAATGAGGTCCTGGAGAGAGCCTTAGTATTTTCATCAAGAGAATTCCAGACTTTTACTCCTTGAAATCGAATATTAAAGATTGCATAATTTGTTCTTGTTTTCGGTAAGGAATAGCTTGACTTTGAAGATAATCTAGTATTATATTTATGAATGTCTTTAATTTTAGTGAAGAAATTATTGAAAACAGGTGGCAAGATAGAATGATGATACTTATACATAAAGACTGATATATAGAGAAATGTGATATCATTTAGTTTGATGATTTCTAATCTTTTAAATAGGGGACTGGATTTTTCATCAAAACTAGAGAATGTTATAACCCGCATTACTTTCTTTTGTAATTTGAATAAAGGATCAAGAGTTGTGGGGTAGGTGCTACCCCATGCAAGTATACCATATATTAGAAATGGGTATATCAAGCTATGATATAGTTTTATCCTTGTTTTTAGATCAATAAAATATCTGATTGTAGATAAAATACCACAGTTTCTGTTGATCTTTTTCAAAATATAATTGATGTGGGGTTTCCATGACAGATTTGAATCTATCAAAATACCAAGATATTTGATATACTTTTCCTGTTTAAGTTCCTTTTGGTCAATAGTCCTCAGGATTAGTTTAATGGGATTTTCCTTTGAGTAGTGTGAAAGAGTACATAGTTTGACTTTTCTATGTTTAGTGTGAGTTTATTAGCATACAACCATGCATAAATGTTGTCGAGCTCAACATTGATATTAGTTCGTAGAGAAGTTAAGTTTTGATGTTTATGAAATAAGCTTGCATCATCTGCAAAGAGATGGAAGTCTAAGATGCTAGAACAGAGATGAAAATCATTAATGTATATAATAAATAAAAGGGGACCTAATACGGAGCCTTGTGGTACTCCGAGTGAGATTGTTTGGTGCTCAGAACAAACTTCCCCTATAGCTACAAACTGCTTCCTATCTTTCAAATAATCAATCAACCAATCAAGAATAGGCCCACGAAAGCCATAACGATTTAGTTTTTCAAGTAAAATTTGGTGGTCAACTGTGTCAAAGGCTTTGCTCATGTCCAAAAAAATTCCACAAGAGAATTCCTTATTATCAATTGCCTTTTGTATTTTATCTATGATGCTCAGAATTGCATAATCAGTAGAGCAATTGGATCGAAAGCCAAATTGTTTGTCATAGAGAATATTTCTCTCTTCAATATAACTCAACATTCTTTTATAGACAATTTTTTCTAGGATTTTATCAAAGATAGAGAGGAGAGAAATAGGGCGATAGTTGTTAAGATCTGTATGAGATCCTTTCTTAAAAATAGGTATTACCTTAGCTACCTTCAGACACTTGGGTACGATACCACAAGCAAGAGATGAGTTGAAAATTATTTCCAAAGGCTTTGAGATACATGGCTGGAGCATTTTCAGTATCTTCACAGGGACACTAAAGGGTCCTACTGATTTGTCTACTTTGAGACTAGATATTTCTTTAGCTATCTCTTCARCATCAGTTGGAAAGAGAAAGAAGCTGTCATAATAAGAAGGTAAATCTGTTAAATAATCTAGAGCAGAAATACTAGAATGTGGTATTTTATCAGCCAATTGCTTGCCAATGTTGGCAAAGTAATTATTGAATGCATCAGAAATTGATTTTGGATCAGTTAAATCATTGTTAACATTAATGCAAATTTTGCTTATTTGTTGGTAAGATTTATTGGATTTGGTGTTTACTATTTCTTTGATTCCTTTCCAGACTTGTTTGCTGTTAGATGCATTTGCATTGAAATAATCATTATAATATTGTCTCTTGCTTATTCTTGTCAGATTACTTTTATTTCTATAAAGTCTAAATTTAGTTTGATAGACAGCTGATTTAGTTTTGATAAATTGTTTGTATAACTTGGTTTTTTTTTGTTGTTGTTGTATGGAAGTCATAATACCTTTTGTAATCCAAGGTTTACTTTGAAGTTTTGATTTCTTTTTTGAAACGTTTTTTAAGGGAATATGTTTATCTATTATGCACAAAAGTTTATCATGAAATAGATTAAACATGTGATCAGGGTCACTGTGTTTAGTTAATGTTTCCTCCCRGTTAATTAGATTAAATTCATCTATTAGGTTTTGTTTATTAAGATGAGAAAAATCTCTTCTATAGATTCTTTCATTGTTTAAGTTATTATTGGGTTTTTTAATTATCATAAAATTTGGAAGGTGATCACTAAGGTCAAATATGAAATTTCCACTTAATGYTGAATAATCTAAAGTATTTATAAAAATATTATCGATTAGTGTTGCTGTGTGATCTGTGATTCTTGTTGGTTGTAATATAAGTGGGCGAAAAAGAGAAGAGCCCATTGTATTAAGAAAATCATTTGTTTCTATGTGGGATTSTGCTTTAAGCAAGTCTAGATTAAAGTCTCCCATAAGGGTACAAARCTTATTCTCATGGTGAATTAAATCTAATGTTATGTTTATATATTCCATGAACCGAGTTACGTCACTAGTGGGGTGTCTATATATAACACCACATAGCATATTATTTTGATGGCCATTATCAATCTCAATCCATATTGATTCAAATTCATCTTTCAGTATTGTYAATTCTTCTCTCATAGAAATTTTCAGAGAGTCATTTACATAGAAACCAACACCTCTAACATTACTATTGCTAGGTTGATAAATAAAATGATAACCTTGTATGTCATTATTTTGTAATGGACTATTACCAATTTTGATCTTAACTTCAGTAAGACCAATGATTGAGGGTTGAGCACCCATTTCAGTTATTAGTGAMATAATTTATCAAGATTGGCTGCAAGACTTCTAATGTTGCAGTGTAATGCAAGGAATGAATTATCTACAAGATATTCCTTGATCTCTTTACTACTGTGAAAGTCATGTGTTGTATAATAGTTGAATGTTGAGTCAGAGGGAATGTTAAACTCTGCATCTAAACTATCAAGGTGATTTATATTGTTTGTGAAATCAATATTCTCAAGGAAATAGTAGAAGATAATATAGGTAAGTTGTAGTGCTTGGGAACGAGGTTATTCCGGGCGGAAGCCCTTGGAATTAAATTCGGAAAAATTAATTTCCGACCTCGCTGGGATTCGAACCCACGACCTTCGGAATTGTACTACCGATGCTCTACCAGCTGAGCTAGAGGTCAGACTGAGAGCAGGCCGGGGTGAAATAGATGTTAGGTCGCGGTAATTATGATGCAAAGATGAGAGTATGTGGACCGCGTGGCACTAATGAAATAGTAGAGGATAATATAGGTAAGTTGTAGTGCTTGGGAACGAGGTTATTCCGGGCGAAAGCCCTTGGAACTAAATTCGGAAAAATTAATTTCCGACCTCGATGGGATTCGAACCCACGACCTTCGGAACTGTACTACCGATGCTCTACCAGCTGAGCTAGAGGTCAGACTGAGAGCAGGCCGGGGTGAAATAGATGTTAGGTCGCGGTAATTATAAAGATGAGATCATCTTTGCATCATAATTACCGCGACCTAACATCTATTTCACCCCGGCCTGCTCTCAGTCTGACCTCTAGCTCAGCTGGTAGAGCATCGGTAGTACAATTCCGAAGGTCGTGGGTTCGAATCCCAGCGAGGTCGGAAATTAATTTTTCCGAATTTAATTCCAAGGGCTTCCGCCCGGAATAACCTCGTTCCCAAGCACTACAACTTACCTATATTATCTTCTACTATTTCATTAGTGCCACGCGGTCCACATACTCYCATTCTCAAGGAAAGGTAGATTTGTATATTCATTCTGCTCAGTAGCATGGTTAACATGCTCTGTGTTATCATTATTACATACCAAGCAATGCATAAAACGTATGGTTTAAAGTTTCTAAGACAATAAATAAAGTCATTTTTCAACCAAACTTATCTGAAAGGCCATTCGTACAGCTACTCAGCAAAAGATCMCTACTTGCAACTTGTGCATAGCTAACTGGATGGAAAGGAACTGATGACAATCGATCCAGATCAAGTTGTGTATTGATTCTATGTGCAGAACTCTTCTCATGTTTGCTTAGGTAGATCCTACCAAAGTGAGTCCAGATAAACTTGTACATGTTCTCTTTCTTGAATTTTATGTACTTCCTAAACAATTCTTTTTTGTTTTGAGTAAGGCTTTCCTGAATATAGATTGACCTTGATCTATACCAATATTATTGACCGAGAAGTCTTTTAGTGATCGTCTCTTCTGGTACAATTCTTCTCTTTTGTCTCTTCTTGTGAAGCGTACTATAATCGGGCTCGATTGATCCYTTTTACTTCTATTTCTAGTTGGTAATCTGTGACTTACAGGTATATCCTCGGGTTTTACGGTTACATCGATTAGAGAGCTGATTTTCGTTACGATATTGTTTGTGTTTTCACCAGCCGTGGCTGSGATACCGTAAATCTCTAGACATTCTCTTCTTGAATATTGCTCTTGATCATCGCAATAGTTTATCAGTTCATTAACATCAAGATTTAGTTGGTTAACTTAAGTTTAAGAGCGTCCTTCTCTATCTTGAGTTCTTTGTTAGTTTTCTCAAGATTTTTCAGTCATTTGGTTATCATGCTATAGTCGTTAAAATTACAAGCACGCGCCCGTAGCACGCGCTCTTTATGTTTACTTGAAGGTTTTTGTGGAGTACCGTAATTCTTCTAGATCCTATTCTAGACAGAACTTATTGATTTACACAACTATACTTCCATGGGCAACCAATACAAAAATACGTGGAATGCAAGACCCGATTGACTATCAATAGGGAAATTGGTTTTAAATGGAGCGATATTACACTGAATAKGCTTAATGGGAGACGACCAGAACAAATGTCGCGCTTAAAAGGGCAATTTTTTGGTATGTTAAAGGCATTGAAGCTTTCTAGGGTTGCTAAGAATAAAGTTGAACATTGCTATATTTGCATTCTCTACTTGAAATCGTTGGCTTTTCCAAATGCATTGTAGATCGTATGTCATTGAGGCTATAAAATATGTGACTATAGAATAGTCTATAAAATGTGGCTGTAGAATATGCCCGCATGCTTTTAATAAAACGCAAGCCAACAGAATCATTTTACTACTACATCTTTATTTTGATTCCCGGTATTCCAACTATATTCAGGCTCAAAGTCTGGATTACGTGTTTGTCAAATACAATCAAAGGACGACTTCTCTGTACTTCCCTACGATTCCAATGAAGGCAGGAAGGTCTAGACTAGATATAAATTAGTATGCGGAGATCGTTTAGCTAAGGTGCAATTACTCTAGTTATACGTCCGATATACGTCCTATAAAAGGATAATTTATTCACATTGATTGACGAAGACAAATCCAAAATATTCCATGTAAGCTGGTAAATTCTTGCTACTGTCCAAATAATTMTCGGTACTTCCCTACAATTCTAAGAAAAAAGGCATGAAAATCTAGACTAGACATATGTAAATTAGCATGCAGCTAAGGGGCAACCAGGTGCTTTGATTTCTGTTCTTGTCTCCACAAAAGTATACTCTATGAAAAGGATAATTCATAATAGATATTCCACAAAAWKCACTATTCCATAATCCTAAATATTCAAACACTCTTGCCACTGTTCAAATAAAAAGTTCTGGATTATTTGTTAGAGTCGTAGTTGGTTTTGGACRGGYTTGTTTAGATTTTCTTKATACACACTCCATAGGGACGAATATCATCTTCATCAGGAGTTACGAAGTATATCCCGTAGGGTGTTTTTTGCTCCTTCGTCTTCTTTAGGTTGACTCGGTTCTGCAGGATGCACTTGCAGTTTTCTCCTTTGTAGTTGAAATCTGTAGCATAATCTTCAGCTACTTTAAAGTCTGGTGTGGAGTAGATACCTGGACCATACMGTTGACGTACACWCYTMTTGGTGTCGTATCCACCGGYCACAATRCTGGGRACGTTRTCTATCATCGTTCCATGGTAGGATACTGSCCATTCTCCTGGGGAAGATTCACTCCTCCAGCCTTGTTGCCCTAGCCAAACATCATTTCCATACTTGCCGTTCACTCTCACAGCCTTTCTGTTCCAACCAGCTGGTCTCTTGTAAGGATAGTATCCTCTGGTACAGTTAGTGTCATCTCCCTTGTAGTTAGTAAAGTCATGGTCGTACTGTGGATCGTAAGCAGAATCCGGGATGTAGTAAAGTTGTTCTTGATTAGTCTGAGTCGAGCTGAGTCGACCGTAGAAGACATCTTTGATTTCGAGCGCTCTCACCCTCTTGCCTAGTTCACGCTGCCTTTGTACATCCTTTTCGCTDATGATCTTTACACCAGTGATGACAGAAAAGGCTGATGCTGTCGCTTCGTATGTTTCTTGTTTCGACCAAGTAGAAGGAGGACGTGATGGAGATGGACGTCGTGGAAATAGACTACAGAAGTCAGACAAGGCTGATACGAAATCTTTTTGTGACGTTGGCTCCCTTTTCCTTGGAGGAGGTTCTGAAGGTAAAGAAACGATAACGATGAACAAGACGATAACGATGAGCAAGACGATAACGAAGAAGAGGGCGATCACGATGACGTAGAAGAGGACGATCATAAAGATTTTTAAGACGCTCCATATCCATCCTACAAAAATTATGAGGCCAGATATCAACTGAGCTGCCATTTGCAAGAGTCTTAACTTTCAAACAATTTCGCTTGTGTTATGTGTTGTGTTATGAGAATGGTCTCATAGCAACAACCTGAATAACTTCAGCCGGTTATYTTATTTATGTAAATCCAGTTCAGTGTAATTATATCAAGTTCCCAGAAATGTTTATTCGGCTCAAGTACTTGGAAAATAATGCGAGAGAATGGTCACCGCTTCCCTGCTAGCAGAGTCTCTCCTCTTTCTCTCCCTTCTTTTAGGCGGGGGGGGGGAAGGAGAATCTGCCGATGTAGAGGGTTTCCTTTGATACACCGCCGTCCACGTTCGTGGGTTTTTAACTTGGTACATGTAGTGCGCATGAGCAAACGTAACACACCGAGACCCCAAACGTTGTTTGATTAGAGCGGCTGTCAAAATCATGATAGCGTTGTTAAGTTACGCCACGGAGACGCGATAACCATAACATCCGACATCGGCAGTCTATCTTTCTCACTCCACCAAACAAAAGGATAATTGACTCTGCACCGCATAAACAACCAGATAACTTTAGTTTAATATTTAATATTAACTAATTTTGCGTTTTCAAATGTATGTGTTTCGATCGTTTTAGTGTGGTAGCGAGACTTCCAAGGTGTCTCGAAATAGTTTTTTTGGTCACCAACCAATAAAAAAAAACTGTTTCAATTAACTTTTCTTTGGACGCGTCTGATATTTGGATAGGGTTGGGTGGGGACATACATAATTTTACTCTTATTTATTAATTATCAAATATTTTAAATTTTGTTGGGATAGGCCTGGCTTAGGGGGAGTGACACATTTTGTAATTCATCATATTAGTTGATTCAGAATAAGGGAAGGGAAATATGTAATTTTATATTGATAAGTAAATATATTAGTTATCTAGTTACTTATTCATTTATCTTCGATTATGCACCAAATATTCTTCAAGTTCATTCTCTAGTGAGTTTCTTTTCTTAGTCTCTACAAGTCTACTCCATATGAAAAGGATAATTCTCGTCGTATTGATTGGCGAAGACAAATCCTAAATATTCCACAAAAGCCACTATTCCATAATCCTAATTATTGAAACACTTTTGCCACTGTTCAATACGACTCGTTAGAGTCGTATTTGTTTTCGGTCGGGCTTGTTTAGATTTTCTTGATACACACTCCATAGGGACGAATATCATCTTCATCAGGAGTTACAAAGTATCTCCCGTGGAGAGTTTTATGCTTCTTCGTGTTCTTCATGTTGACTCGGTTCTGCAGGATGCACTAGAAGTATTCTCCTTTGTACTCGAATTCTGAAGCATAATTTTCTGCTTTTTTAACGTCTGGTGTGGAGTAGATACCAGGAGCATATGCTTCACGCGCACACCTCTTGGTGTCGTATCCACCGGCCACAATGCTGGGGACGTTATCTATCATCGTTCCATGGTAGGATACTGCCCATTCTCCTGGGGAAGATCCTTCCCTCCAGCCTTGCTGTCCCAACCAAACATCATCTTCATACTTGCCGTTCACTCTCACAGCCTTTCTGTTCCAACCAGCTGGTCTCTTGTATGGATACCCTCCTCTGGTACAGTTAGTGTCATTTCCCTTGTAGTTGGTAAAGTCATGGTCGTACTGTGGATCGTAAGCAGAATCCGCGATGTAGTAAAGTTGTTCTTCATCGTCGGCTTGTGTCTTGGAAGAGCTGAGGTGACCATAAAAGACATCCTTGATTTCGAGTGCTGTCACCTCCTTGCCTTGTTCAAGCTGCTTTTGTACATCCTTTTCGCTGATGATCTTTACACCAGTGATGACAGAAAAGGCTGATGCTGTCGCTTCGTAWGTTTCTTGTTTCGACCAAGTAGATGTTGGTCTCCTTAGTCTACTTAGAGCTGGTGTAGAAGGACGCGATGGAGGTGAACCAAAGATGGCAGACAAGGCATCTGCTGCCGTTTTGCTTCGTGCTCGTGTTCGCCTAGTTGATGTTTGTTCCCTTTGTMTACTTGAAGCTGGTGTAGAAGGAGAAGATTTTGGAGTTAGACAAATGACAATCCTGATGCTTTCGTCATCATATCTCCTAATGTTGATCGTGTTGATCGAGTTTGTGTACTTGGCGCTTTTGTAGTAGTAGGAGACCAGGAATTTCTGTACGACGACGACAACGAAGACCATGTAGATTGAGAAGAGAACGGTCTTGAAGAATTTGAAGACGATCCATACCCACCATCCTACAAAAGCTATGACGCCAGCTATTAACTGAGCTACCATTTGGGAAAGTCTTCAGTTAGTATGCGRTTTTCCAAGTTTCCATTCAGTGAGTATCAGAACTGTTCTCTCAGGCGCCCTTGCAAATGACAGACACATAATCAAATTAAGTTCCTAGAAATGTTTATTCGGTTCAAATTCTTAGAAATTAATGGGAGGCAACGGTCCCATGGCAACATCCAGAATAACTTTAGTAGCATAAATATTTATGTTAATCCACAGGCAGCCCAAACAAGGTTAAATCGTGTTTATAATCTAACCAAGCCGTTTCAAGTAATGTGTGAAGAAACCATAAGAGGCGAATGTATAGCCAACAGGTAGTATGAGCATATAAAATCAGCAAAAATACGGTTTTAAATATTAACGAATTCCTATGAATTATGACCAAAATGTCCAAGAAAGCGCGGGGTTTTCAAATACACTTCTGTGTGTGTGTGTGTGTGTGTGTGTTTTGTTTTTTGTTTTTGTTTTTTTGTCATTTGTTTTTGTTTTGTTTTTGTTTTTGTTGACAGGTTATGTCACGCATTTTCTCTTGTAAAATAATCCAATAGCGTACATTCAACTCAAAAAGTACGGTGTTTTTTTTCAATAGATTAACTGAATCTACTTMTGTTTTTTGCCTAGATGTAGTCATTATTTTGAGACAAGACGCTCTTCGAGCGTGCACTGGGTTGCCACCTAATCTTACTTTGGAACATAGGTGTCCAAACACTTATTTTTCTCACATCAAATTTATTCAAAATTTTACACCTTTTAAATGTGTTTTTTAAYAAAAATGTACGGCTTTTTGTATATCTTTTAACCAGTGAAGTGGAATTACACTCGATTAGTAAAACTATACTWGATGCGGTTTTGCACCGGAGGAAAAAGCGTTGTGTTACTGACGTCACTAAGTTTTAATAGGCYCCATCTAAAACTACACTGACAAYAACTAACKTGACCCCAAKGTTCGTGACGTCTGACGACATAAATATATTTCTTTCAAGAACCGTGTATAGGCCAAAGAAGCGACAGAAATTAGTTTAGAAATATGTTTAAATGGTTTTTTTGCTAACCGTTCTGAAGTTCTGATTGTCTTTTTATATATCAAAAACAGTGAAGTGGAACTGTGAAACTCGGTTAGTAAAAGGATTCAAAACTTAGCGAAAAGTACTTACTGCCAAAGTTACCAGCTCTATTACGGCGTAAAAATTTAACGATATTTTCATTTATATGCCTTATTAACCAAAAACTGAAATCCGTATTTTGAATTAGGCTCTACTAACCCGCGATTGAAGCCAAAATACTGCCGACTGAGTAGCTGTATTAATACTAATAAAAATCGGAATTACAATCCTAGAAAYCTTCTTTTACTGCTCAATTATATTACTACTAAAGCCTGGAATTACATCCTCAGCTGCTAAGCCAATCTATGAGCCATTTATCTATTATCACGTCATTCAAATCCATATATGGGTACTCTTGCGCAAGAATGTAACATTCCTGAAGGAGACTACAAAAAAATCCGAAGGMATTTTACGACTGGGCTGTCACGGGCAACCCAGTAAAAAGATCCAAAAACCGTGTTTTTGAGACCTTATTTGTATGGGCTCACAGGAGGGGCCGTGAAATTGAAATCGTAGTTGACCAAAKAGATTTTTTCCGATGACGATTCGAGTTTCCTCACTGTAATCCAAAGTGTGAAAATGATAGTGAAACAAAGTTTATTTTATCGATCACGCAGTTGATCATCAAGTTAACTCTATTAGCTATTATAGTTAACTCCATTAGCTATGCTTTGTGTCCTGAGTTAGAGTTTCTTGATACACAAGCCATATGGACGGATGTTWTCGGCGTTTGGAGTGATAAAGTATGGTCCGTCTAGTGTTTCAACGGTTTCAGTTTCTTCTAGGTTTACTCGGTTCTGCAGCATGCACTTGTAGTCTTCTCCTTTGTAGTTGAATTTTATGGCATATCGTTCGGCGACCTCAAAATAGGGCGTAGAGTAGATACCGCGACCATATTTATGACGTACGAACTTCTCGATGTCGTAGCCTTCAGTGACGATATTTTGGACATTCTCTATCCTCGTTCCATGGAAGGATACTGGCCATTCTCCTGAGGAAGATTCACTCCTCCAGCCTTGTTGTCCCAACCAAACATCATCTTTATACTTGCCGATCACTCTCACAGCCTTTCTTTTCCATCCAGCTGGTCTCTTGTATGGATACCCTCCTCTGGTACACCTTTCCAAGAAGGAAGAGTGATTAGTGAAGTCGTAGTCGTACTGTGGATCGTATGCAGAATCCGGGATGTAGTACARTGATGGGCTCTGTCCGTCAAAATTCCTTGGCTTTAGTTTGAAAAGGTCCTTGATTTCTAGTCTTTTCACATCAGGATTGCCCTTCTCTATTTCTATTTTCGCTTCTTCTTCACAGATGATTCGTACACCGAAGATAGCCGAAAACGCGGCCGCGGCGATGGCATAGCATTCGGTTCTCTTTCGGCCTCCAATAGCTTTAAAGGCTYGTGCTGTTGCTGCAGCTACAAAACCAACGACTGGTACTGCGARAATCAGGGCGGCCATCGCTTTACAATCCCCAACTTTCAAACGATTTCTCTTGTGTTTTGATGATTGCTCAGTTTACTTTCACTTTCATTCTATCTTGAATGACGATGTAGTCACGACCAAGAAGGGTGTCGGGTAATTTATCTCAGAACACATAGCTATTTGCAATTATGACGTTAAAAAAAGCAAATGTATAAGAAATCTTAAATCGCGTCATTTCTTTAAAATTCATTACTTTTATAATAATTATTTAAATTCATTAAGCCAAAATTTAATTCGTAGGCTTATTTTAGACGTTTATCGAGATTTTCATGCGGTTAAAACGCCGAATACAATAATGGMCGCTATTCATCATCATAACTTTTAAAATTCATATTTTAAATGAACACCATATTAAAATTATAGATTAAACTGATTCGAATAAACTTGGAAAGTTTGAGGTAGAATTATTAATTCCAAATATTAAACTTCACTGGAATTCTAGGTATTGAAGTATAGCTTTCAAAAATTCACAATTCTGCTTGCTCTTTCTGATGATGGTGTTTAGTTTTTTAGATTAGTATATACTTCTAAAAGTCAATGGCGGTCATTTTTTTGTTTTTACCTGGTTATTTACGCTGGTTTTACTCGTATCAAGACTTTGCAATACTAACCTCTCTATTTACCATTTTTAGAGGGGAGGGGAGGCACRGGTTATTGGTTTCCGCTTCATTAATATTGATATCATTATTGTTTTTTAGGTCCGAGTATCATGTCGAGGCAAGTCTTGGAGCGTGCGCAGAGCCTTGGAGAATTTTATTGGTTTAGACAAACAGATTCACAGGTAAAATACTCACCTCTTCAGTGTGCGTGTGTGTCGGGGGAGGGGTATTAAATAGCGCAGCGCACTGATCCTAAAAATAGCTTAAAGATTCGGACAAACATTGCATTCTGTTTAACCGCTACGAGGATTATACGAACCGATTTTATTATTTTTACTTAAAGTTACAATAATAACCCATGTAAACTAAGATCAACTGCGATCGKCTGTGAAAATTATCTGCTGAAAGTAAACTTGCAAGTTTGTTTGTCCGAATTTCGCCTTTGTCTTTGTTTTTATGACGTCACGGTTGCGCTGCGCTATTGGTAGATGAAATATTGTTCTTGGGATTCCTGTGGYGAACGATTATTAGGCAATATATTTGCACTTTTGTTGGGCCCTAAATCGAAAAAGCGTATTTTTTATTCGCATTGAAAACTTATCTTTTTTCTTTCTTTCTTCCTTCCTTTTCTGACTTCCATTCGTTTTTCTTCTTTCTTTTTTTCTTTTCTCCCCTTTTCTTTCTTTCCTTTCCTTTTCTTTTTCTTTTTTGAGGAAAAGGTCTGTCCCCATCCCGAGTTCCTTTGTCAGTCTTCCTCAAAACATCTTACTTTTCTCCATTTAATTAATTTTCACCTTCAACCACATTTATTGGTTCAGACATTGACCTAATCCCACAATTAATAAGAACCTAATCTTCATTATCCAATACGTCTAWTTTTAACTCCTCGGCGTCCCGTATCCTGTGCTCTAATTCATCTGTCTATCAGCCTATCATAAGCTTTATTACCTTCGTACTCTAGTACTAAGTCAACACACATGATTTACACAGTCTAGATCACACCATTCGTGACGTTGTCATATGAAATGTCTCAAGGATAAAATCAAAGAATCCACTAAAGCCCTTATTCCGTAAACCGTTCTGTAAGCTACAAGTTTTTGGCTCACATTTGGAWTTCAATGCCTTCAAACGAGTGAATATTCTTGAATCGACTGCGAATCAACCATAAAGTTCAGAATACATGTTGATTATGCAATTCGCTCAAAACGGGTAAGCCGTATAGTCATTTGTTTATGTTTTAAAGTGACATGCCTTTCAAGCTTGGCTACTGAGATATACCATTTTTCCCCGAATATTTTCAAGCTCACAGCTTATCGCAATGCTAATTCAGAAACTAGCTTTTATTTTTTGACTATTGATTTGAACTGTCTATTGCTTTTAAAAATGTATCCCCCCAACTAAAATGAAGATATAATTAAGACTAGTTTTTGAACTTTTATTTACGCTTGTGAGTGCACCAAAAATCCAGAATTATAGTCGCTCCAAAGAAGTCTAAATAATTTTGTTAAAAACTTTTTCAATTGTACTCGAAATAGCCTTTTAACTAAAAACTTTAATCTTCAATTAAAATAGTTTTAATGTCTTTGCTTAAAATAAAACAATTTTTTCAAAAACTGGAATAGTTTCCTATACAAAAATGCAGAAATTGATACTCTTACGCCAAATATTTCAATAATTCGTCAAAATGTTTTCTGAAAAAGTAGCCACATTTCACTTAAGGGATATTTAAAATAATTGATATCACTTATAAGAATTTCATTAGTACTATTTTTGCATTTTTAATCACCTTTTCGATTGGTACAACATTATTTACTACATAGTTTTACCAAAATAATATTCTGTCGGATCTAAACTTACGAATAAATATCTAATTCTTTAGTATTATTTTACGTTTTTTGTTACAATTTACCGCAAGACTATATGGTTTGGTATTTTTTCCCTCTTAATTCTAACCTTTACCCTCCCAAAAAGTAAATAATTTTACTGAATCAACAGCTGATTGAATACACTTGAAACTCCTTCCGTTTTTCAATTCCCTCTTAATTCTAACCTTTACCCTCCCAAAAAGTAAATAATTTTACTGAATCAACAGCTGATTGAATACACTTGAAACTCCTTCCGTTTTTCAAGTAAAGTGATTCCAAATTCATTTATCTTGACAGCCAAATTATTTTTTACAACTTTCGCTTTTTTCATCTCATTTTTATTTTGAGTATTATCATTCGAATCACTTCATGAAAGCAATTCTTTTTATTTATTTATTTATCTTGTCACGTTTTGTGTCAAACCTGCGGACAATAACCCCTTGTTATAAGTTCAAAGTTGTTCAAGAAGTTGTCGTTTCCTTTTGTATTGTCATTGATTCGCCGAGTTTGTTTTGACGGTTGTCAAACTTTTATTTTTCTTTTCTAATTTATGATTTATGGTTGCGTTAAGTCATCGGTCTTAATTGTCTTGTTTCCAGAAGTAATTATCGTTTGTTCAAGTGCCCATGTTTCTGTTTACAAATTACTCGAATAAAAGACTTCGTACAAAATAATATAGTTATAAGAACGCTAAAATCTGCGTCAGAAATCTCTTAAAATTGAGGGATTTTGTCGTTTTCTAATACGATTTCTCCCCCAAAAAAAGATTTTCAATCTAACCCAGAACTGTTTTCCTCTTTTATTCTATTTAAAAAATCGTTGTATAAGTGTAAAACCTTAACAGCGCAAAGCAAAACAGAGGCAAATTTCCGCTCTGACAGAGCATTCAAATGGTTTCCGTATTCAAGCTTCGTGATTTGTTAGCAGTGCATTTTCGTCAGTCTTGATTGGTTCTTGAAGAGGGAAAACTCTTTGAACGTTACGGTGCCATATCCGGCATACGAGTTCTACTTACTCGTCTTTCTTTTTTTTTTCTTTCTTTCTTTTCTTTCTTTCTTTTTTTTTATTATTTTTTTTTTATCCTTTATTTTTGTCATAAAATTTTGCAATCGGAGAATTAGTCGTGGAAATACAGGACACGAGTACCGTAGGTTACATACTAGATTAATCGTTGTCAGACGCTTGACGCTGTTTCTCTGTACATCTGTTTGTCTGTACAAGTGTCTGGTCAATTAGGATAGGTCGACTAAGTGGGTTGGTAATATTCATCCCCTTCAGGCACCAATACGGTCACGTCTGTCTCATTTAATGTTCAGTCGTGCGCAATAGATCACATATAAAGTTCGTATCAAGCCTAAAACAGGATCTCTTCCTCATTTCAAACCCCTTATATAATAAATAAGAATGGCCTTTACTTTCTTTTTGATATCTCTTTCTGGCCGAGATATTCAATATAGAAATCACGAAATGATGACGTCAACCCAGGGTCCTTGTAAATATTCAAATCAATAAATAGAGAATATCTCTGTGTGAATTAGCTCAGAATGCCTGATTCTTATCTTGGTTATAGTGCACTATAAAGAGAAAAACACTCGTCTATCTAAAATTCCAGCGCATTATGCCGTGCTACAGCTTTGTTATAATTTCATTTTGTATTTGTCCTTTTTTTCAGATGTATTTTTGACCGTAAGTTCAGCCTGTTACCATCCCTGGCCGACACATTAGATGACTCACGCGGTTCAGCAGACGATATGGTGAGTTGAGAAAATTCAATTTTCTTAATTCCCATGACCTTATGAACCTCTAAAGGTGATTACAACGGATCTGCCGTTACAGCGCCTTTTATTTGCAGTATTGAGGTGGCTTTCCGTTGTTTTTGCGCGCGTGATGTATTTTGTGTTTTTTTTTTCCGGTGGTGCGAGTACGCTACGGCACGTCTAAATCATCGAATAGTATCCAGTGCGGAATCGCTGTTGTGTCATATTGATTATATCACTGAGGAACATTCACACATACTGGCAAACAACCAGTAGCATTTAATGTTAGTGGAGAAAAAAACGAGCAGCCATTTCACTACTCTTGTGATGATTTATCCTGGCCTTAATCATCATCATCGTCATCATCACAATCGTCGTCTTCGTTAATTGATGTCTATTGACACAGCTCGTCGAATATTTCTCACTCCACGCCATCATTATCATCTTTTTTGACAATTTTTGGTCGCCATAGTGTAGTATATATCTGTATATGTATGTATAATCTTCTTCATTATCAATATTCTATCGTTATCATCACTAGTTATCATCGTTATCATCTTTCTTTATGCTGACTGCCACGTTTGTTTTGTTCCTTCCAAATACGTGTAGGATATATTACAGTCATATCTGACCCGCTTAACAGAAATCGCTGATAATGTGATGAACTGTGGACCTGTCTTGAATTGGTTTGAGGTGAGCAAATGTGCGCTGTTTTTTACCCTCCCCTCCCTTGCTGGTGACGACTGTGGCYCAATCATATCGAGGCCAACCCTAAACACAGGAAGCCCATGTGACGTATTTTGACATTAGTCAACGATTGTTACCCTTTCCCTTCGTAGGTGGATAATAAAGGCAATCATTTATTATTAACGGACGATTCTGCCATCAACGTACCTGCTATTGCTGCTGCTCACGTGATCAAGCGATACACGGCACAAGGAGCCGACGAAATCTCTCTCGACGTGAGTAAACTATTTTGATAATTGGCGGTCTACGTCCCCTACCAATATTTTGGTATTTATTGGTATGTTACGTTTATCTCTTGGGTTTTCTGTTTCTTCGTGTTTTTAGTTTCTTGGGCATCCTGTGGTTTTCGTCCCATTTCTTTCGTTCAAAGCTTGCTGTACAATCTCAAATCGTTGGTTTAAACTGTGCAGTAAATCACCATTAAAATTTGATAAAACATTAAATCTTCTCCTCGAATAATCTACTATAATATAAATAGCTTTCGTTAACAAAACACGTTTTCCAATTTTAAGCCGACGAATGCCTTTTGTTATAAGAACTATACCACAGGCAACCCAAGCAATGATTCAATGATTTTTTCTGTCTATATGTTAAAATTACAAAATACACAAGAACACAGCTTGGGCTGCCTGTGGGCGTATTTCTTATCTAGCGGTTGATCTGGCATGGTACACGGCAAGACTTCCATATTGATTAATGCGTAATATTAAGAGAGCGGTGTAGTTTGACCCGGAAATAGCATCTCACTAATTTATTAAACCCATTTATTTCCAAGTGACAAAAAAAATATTTACTAATTAGAAACTCCTGCAATCTGTTATTCCACAATGTCGAACAAAGTCAGACGTCAAATTAACGATTAATGAAGTCTAATGATCCATAACAACAAATCGAGTGGTAGTAATGCCAATCAAAGTTGTCGCCATAGTAACGGGTTACTAGCCTTGGGATCCCATAAAACAGATCAGGGTAGTGGTAATGTCAATCAAAATTGTCGCCATAGTAATGGCCTAACGAAGTCGTGTGATTCCTTAAAAGGGATCAAGACTTTGGTTAAGTTGTGGCAGATCTATTGGTAAATTAGTTTATCGTTGTTGACCTCTATCAATTAGCTATGCTTCAATCGCCACGGGATGTCAGGCAAAATTAAAACACTATTGGGGTGCGACACTGTGGCTGTGTGATTACTAACAAAGCTGTAAAACTCTGTCCTCGTRCTACGGACTTCATTCTCTTTTACGACCACACTTTCTCTTCCTAAAGAAGAAGCCTTTTCTTAGCTTTGGCGTCCTGAAATATGGGGTATGTCTAAATATTTTAAGTTCGTTTAAAATAAGATTTATTCTTGGTAGTTTTGCCCACGGTGGAATTCTTAATCTTCTGATTCTAATCTCAAAATATAGAGGCAAAATTCAACCGGGATTTTTCTCTGCTACTCTTACAATAATTTCGAATATATCAGAATTGTCTACGAAAATGTTTCTAGGAATTGGGGTTTTTATGTCTATTTTTGGTAGTGTAGTTGTTCATTGACGTACGGCAGACAGTTTGACTCTGTTAGTCATTAAATTCACAAAGCCTGCTTTCTGCTTCGTCGAATCCAAAACCCTTCCGTGATTCAAACTCTGTTTTCCATCCAGGTTTTATTTGTGAAAGTCTTATTTTCGTGGTTTTTGCGGATTTGCCCGATTATCTCAAGATACACCGACAAACCAAGCTGTTTTTTAGTTCATTATAATTATCGACAGATATTAGAAAATTGTATATTTTGATATTTCGCTCCACTGATTCGATTTGCCCCATTCATCAAACTAGGGGCATTTATCAAAAAGAATAAATTTCCAACTACATTAAATGAAAAAAAAAAATTCAAAAAATGATTTTTCTAAATAATAAAATACGATAATTGAAGGCACAGTAGGTACAATAATGCACTTTTACTTTAGCTTTATTTTTTGAATTATTTTAAAGCTTCTTCTGTAAAGCTTTTTTCGTTCCAAAATGTTGGCTTCAACAATTAAAAAAAGCAATTATTAATGTAATTTGGCGATAAATGATCTTAAATTATAATGTAATCCTAGGTTTCTTTAAAATTATTGCCTTTTGCTTACTCTAAATAATTTCACAACACTAATATTTTATCCTATGGCTTAAAACATAGGTATAGACAGGAATAAAACTCCGATGATAACTCTTTTGAAATTCCTGAATTCAGAAATTCCTTTCCGAAGTGCATGTTAATTTTTAAACGGGTTCTTAAAAATGTAGTTCATTTTTGCTAATTATTTATAACTTCTACAATTATTCTTAAATATTTGTTTCTTCCTGCTTTTAACGATATAACATTTTATATATCTACCATTTTACAATTCTCTCTCCTTTAGATTGAACTCAAAAACCTTCGATAAAAAGAACCTCGACATTCGAAGTTGCTGAAATCTTTTTGTTCAAATTTTAGAATGCAAAAAAGCTGAAATTTGAATATTTGTTACTGTTGGTAAATTCTTAGGATTCCGTCTTCCCATGTGGTCGTTTTATAATTCCCATACTATGAATATATATTTGGTTATTAACTCATTTCGTGTAGTAAATCTATTAACTTATTAACTTATAAGGTGGTTATATACAATTCTTCGCGTTAAAAGCTCTATTTTTTTATCTCAGCTCACATACAACATCATGAAAAAGATGGCCAAAATTTTCACTWAACGCTAACTTAGTTTCACTACTAGAAAACACGTTTTAGAACTTCAACCAGAATTTCTTAAAGAAAGTTCAATAGTACTAAAGAGGAATGTGAAGGTATTTGATTAATTTGAAGTTATTTTAAATATCCTTTTTTTCGAGCTCTTTGACGGAATCGAAAAATTGTTAAGAAAATCATTTTGTTATTTTTGTCGGTTCGATTAAGATTCACCTTGGAACTGGTATTCATGCTCTAGTGAAAAATTCTTGCCACACACTGGGATATTATTTTTAATTAAATCTTTATTATTAAACCTTATTAATCTGTTTGCAGGACATTATATTTGATACTAATTCGAATAATCCATCCGAGTTGTTAGTTTTCTCACTTTTCTTTTTTTCTTTTTCTCTCTTTCTTTGCATTTGTATATTTTTCTTTGTTTTATTTTTTCTTGTTTTTCGCTTACCGTGGCTTTTGTTAGCTTATGACGTAAAACTACAAGGGCAATACACTTCAATGGCTTCTGGACATGTTGAGAACATACTCACTTGAAAATCTACCCAATCATATTACAGTATAACGGCACAAGCGCGTGGCACTCACATATTAAACACTCAAATGGCTTTCTTCAAAAATGTATCTTATACAAAAGAATTTTCGAGGACTTTTTTTGATATCAAAACATCGGTGTCTTGCTCGATCTTAATCATCTTATCCGGCATTAGTCAAATTTCATTTGTTCAAAACAATGAGTAGTTATGTATTGTGACGTTCGGTGATTAGTGTTGCACAAAATAGAATGACGTATATCCGGTAGTGTTCAATACAACTCGGAGTGTTTGTTGAGGGAGGTCATTCGTAGATAAACCTTCTTCATACCTCTTCGGTTTTTCTGCTATTCTCTGTGACAGCGACGTTCTTTCYCTTTAGGTAAGAATTTGAAATATTTTTAGCTTCGCTTTGAAAGTGTTCCTTGGTTGTGTTAACTGTTGGCTAGGACGTTCTTGAAAAGCAGATTTAGGCAGTTTGGTTAGATTAAGCAGGGGTGTGTTTTGAAATAACTATAAGGCACTGTTGGAAGAGAATAGTGCTCTTATATTTTCAGAAATATAGCCTAAAGACGACACTAAATTAGAAACTTAACAAACAAAGTAGAACGACTGAAGAGCTTAGAAAATGAACTTACTCGACACTTTAACGAAAGGCGGAAGGAATATACAAGAATGTTCCCTTTCGCCTGAGGGATACTATTAACGATCCTAGTCTAGTATTGCTTTAAGAAGTTGTGCTACTAGCGGCGATGGTAGAGGGATGATTTACCATGATAGCATATCTGTGACAGACGGTCGTGTATATACACCAATATTTCAAAAAACGTTGTCGGTCGTATATCTGAGACTGAGTAGCACGCTGCAAATCTTATATACTCACAGCCGGACAACATAGTTTATTTTTAGATTACAATATGATAAATAAACTTCGAGTTAGAAATGTAATTTTTCACATTTTAGTCAGAAAACATAAAAGCGCAAAAATCTCGGACCGACGAGATGATTTTGAAATAGGTGTATATCTGGAGTAGGATTATTGATGTTGAGTGATTTATCGTTCTGTTGTAGGTTGGTAATATCATATCTGTCATAGACATGCCCCCAGTGGATGAAAGCATCTGGTGGAGAGGAAAACGAGGATACGAGGCAAGTTAGTTCGTTTTTGTTTTTATTTTATTTTATTTTATTTGTTTTGTTTTTGTTTTGTTTTGTTTTTGTTTTGTTTTGTTTTTTGGTTTGTTTTTTGTTTTTGTTTTTTGTTTTGTTTTGTTTTTTTTTTTGTTTGTTTGTTTGTTTTTTTAAATTTAAACATATTTATTCTCTGCATTTTCTCCAAGAGCTTAAAGCTCATCTAGGGAGATTTTTTGTTTTATTCATTCATAGCCCACTTCCGAGATATGCTCCGCTTGTCATGCACAAAGGTTTCTTTACGAGGCTACGTGCTAAATCTATTCTTTTCTCTTGTCACGCATCACATTCATAGCATTTTGCACGACGCCTCACATTGAAACCTTTGTGTGTAACAAGCGAAGCATATCTAGGAATTGGGCTATTAGCTTAGGTTTTTTTCAGCTCAATAACTTGACACTTATCTCATCTCATCAAGGGCGGATCCGGGGGGGGGGGCAAATGGGGGCTGAGGCCCCCCTTCAGCAGAAAAAAACAAAAAACAAAAAACAAAACTGAAGAATTAGATGCTTATTTTATTGTTTTCCGTTGTGTTGACGGAAGAAACTCAATTACACCCCCCCCCCCCTTTAACTCAATTAGTTCCCCTAAACTTTTGGCTGGATCCGCCCTTGCTCATTACCATCTCTCTCTTCCCCTTCTCTCGCTCCTTCTTTCATTTCTTTCTACTTCCTTTCTTCCGTCTACTTGCAAATCTGACTTCATCTTGTTATCATTTTCCACAGGTCGGGTTCTTCCCCAGTCAGTGTGTTGAGGTTATCGGCGATATGTCAGACAATCATCCTATCCCAGCGACTCCAGGACGAAATGCTCACATGAAACCAGGTACAGTAAAATGTATACACTTATTTCAATAAAGTTAGTCACCAAAAACCTAGAAAGCTGAGATCACTGAGCATCATGGGAAACTTTTCATATCAAAAAAGCATATATATACAAAGCTTTTTTAATACAAACTGCAGCTCGATGATGCTCAGAAGAGGTGAGACTGTAACCGGTAAAAGATTCGCAAGTCCATGAACAGTTATCAAGCGGTCGAACGTGTAAAATGAATCTACCCATAATCCTGGTCGGCCTCAGCTTTATAGCTTTTCAGGTGACTAACTTTATTGAAATAAGTGTATCTAAATAGACTATGAAACCTTCAGACAGACAGACAGACAGATCTTTCCCAATAATAATATTCAAATAGGTGGGGATGGAGTCAGCATTTCCAAGTGCACCACTTTATTGTAGTGGTCCCATTGATAAGCCTTGGAGAACTCCACAGAAACATCAAGAGGGTTCTTTTATCGAGCGAGCACATTTATTTCCTTGACAAAAATGATATTACATGTTTAGAACTATAATTCCTGTAAATAAGAGAAGGCGCACAACTAGAAATTTTCAACTGAACCGATGTTTGTATTTTACCGGTTTTTCTTAGTGGCCAAGAAGCGTGGAAAACTGATCAGCTTTCTTCGTATATTCCTGTCATCAAGGCCTTCAAGAGCTCGGTTGATGCAAAGTGGAATCTTAAAGTAAGTACCTACAATCACTGATACATGATGGTCATCTAGTCTCACGTATTCTGATTGGATGACCAGTCAGTATCCCTTGCATTGTGATTGGCTTAACGAACGTCGTCAAACCCGTTCTGTGACATCCATATTTATACTACTCTTCCCAGTAGACCGAGGCAGTTGTGTTTTTTTTATCAACTTTATAGCGTCTATTATGTTAAACTCAAGCGCATTTCAAATCGTCCACGTATTGCCAATGTTGTACCACGTGGACAAGTTCCTTACACCACGTGATAAAAACTTGACAGCACGTATAAAAAACTTGTCCATCACGTGGTCGATTTAAATTGCATTTGCGGCTAACATAACAGACACTACGAAGGCGATATTCTCTCATTCCCGCCTCTTAAAATGTCGGTGACCAACGAATGCTCAAATAAAGAAATAAAGAAATAAGCCGAAATACAGAAATCTACAGTAGTGTAAGGCCTCGACTGATTATATTTAACTCATTTACAATATGCTACTGAAGGAATACTTCACTCTTCACCTAGAATACTGATTTATCATGTCATATTTTGTTTTATTCAGGGAGCGAACGTTTGGCTGTGACTTGGGAGAACACCTTGCACAGACTTCACGACAAAGTAAGACAATAGCGGTTGTTCAGCTTTCAAAATTAAATTCGTTTCATAAAGGATTCTAAAAAGAAAGGAAGGAAGAAAGAAGGGAAGGAAGGAAGGAAGAAAGAAAAAGAGAGAGAAAAAGAGAAAGAAAAAGAGAAAGGAAGAAAGAAAAAAGACAGACAGAAAGAGAGAGAGAAAGAAAGAGAGAAAGAAAGAACAGAAAGAAAGAACAGACAGACAGACAAAGTGATGGCTATAATAACTCTTCAACGCTACCTCTATATTGTTTCGCTTGAAGCGTCGATTGAAATGTGGTTTTCGTTACGGACGGTCAAATATACTAGATCTCTTTCTGAGTGATGGTGTAATCCAGAACGTCTTTTTCAAGTCCCCGTAGTGATTTATGTGTCTCTTTCCTTGTTTGTTGCTACAGTTCCCCTAGTACTAGAGGCGTGCGCATCTGTGATCGAAGAACACGGTATTATTGATGGTATATACCGTCTCACAGGATCCTCTTCAACCATACAAAAGCTAAGGTAACGTACTGATACTTCATGTCAGACTACCAATGCTGGATGTCCGTATGTTTTTGTCTAGTCTCTCGACCATTCCATTATAGCTACACAGACATGAATTATATACCTTGAAGTAAGCGTGACTTGAGCGACGATTTTGATGGCGAGCTTATTGCAACCCCAATTGGCAAGTTTAACGCCCGGCGATTTTATGGCGACAGATCGTAGCCAAGTCGCCGCAAATTCGAACATGCTCGACGTGCATGCAACTATCGGTGATTTTCACTTGAAAGTCGCCATGTTTGAATTTTCGGCGATTTAGCTGCAATCGATCTGTCGCCGTAAAGTTGCGCCTGAAAAGCCCTTTTGGGAGTCCAATAAAGTGTATATATGTATGTATGTACGAAATTGCTAGTGCAAACAGACCTTTTTGAGAATTGTTGGGCATTTTGAAAAGTGCCCAGGCCTGAATATTTCGAATTATGAAGCGGTAAGCATACCAATCACATGATCTTTTTTTGTATCCAGGTTAGCTTTCGATGCTGATTCTCCACCTGACTTGAGGTCGGAGTTCTATTTACGTGATGTTCATTGCATTAGTGCGCTTTGCAAGATGTATTTCAGGTATGTCAATGTTAAGATACCTGTCTTTATCGGCCATCCCTCAGAACTGTATGACCTGTCATAATCGACCATCCCTTAGAACTGAACGACCATCCCTTAGAACTGAACGACCTGTCATAATCGACCATCCCTTAGAACT